ACAAGAATCAATCTTTTCTGTGGTATTTCCCAAATTCTCCGAAACTGAAGAAAGAACGAATGAGTCGATGCAGTGTGTAAAAACTTTTGTTAGATTTCTTCGACTACAAGGACATTGTCGTCATGTGCATACTCCAACTGGTCGGGCAGCAAACAAAGAATGCCACTGTTCGTCGGAAAAGGACAGATTTGGATGCAGCAGGTGATTAGCACCTGCTCATTCAGCGCAGCTTGTGCAGCAGTTTGTCGCTAAGAAGAACATTCCCGAGGTCGCACAACAACCGTATTAACCTTATCTCGTCACTGCCGACGTATTCCTTTTTCCGAAAATTAAATCCCATTTGGAAGGAACAAAATTTCAAGACGTCAGGGAAACCCAAGACAATGCGACGAGGCAGGTGATCAATATCCCAAAAAAATGAGTTCCTGGCATGTTTTCTTCAGTTGAAATGTCATTAGATATAATTTGTGCCTTTAGAAGGTGTATACGGCGAATTTACATGTGACCATTTCCGATGCTTTTTTTCGTATATATTTATGCTGCAAGAATTGAGTCATATAACATTTTTGAAATTCAGTAGACACGATCATAAGACATAACGTGCTTTAGACATCGCTTCCACGAAGTACATCGATGATCAAGCAAAGCTGAATAGTGCCTTTAAACACAGATTTTTCTCTGACTCTCGAAATGGACATATCAGCTCAGTTACGTATCCTAAAGTAAAAATGCAAGTTATAAGAAAAGTATTCTCTTCCTTACAAAAAAAAAAATATTAATCCAACCGATTGTATTACTTAAATGCTTTTCTAGCTAGCTAGCTAGCTAGCTAGCTAGCTAGATAGATATATATATATATAATGAACAAACTGCAACAGATAGATTGATAGATAATGATTGATAGACAGATAGATAGATAAATAGATAGATAGTGAACTGTGACGTCCCTAAACACAGCCTTCGCTCGCTCCTCGCTCGCTCCTCGCTCGCTCCTCGCTGCTTCATTCGGGTGTCGCCGCTCCAAACGTGACGTCCGCCTGTCGCGTCAGTCGTGTTGTCTCGTCCTGTGACGACCAACTGGCTTGGTATCGGTCGCGGCACCCAAATGTAACGTTCTAACCTTTTGGTGATTCGGATGGGAATCTGGTTAGATTCGATATCAGCCTCGTCGTTCCCAATTCGCTTCCAACGCCTGATTACCAAAGCAACTGCGTTGATCTCCAGTCCGCCTACCCACGTTGTGAATCGATCTTAGGCAGACGAAATCAATCAGTCGTTGGGGCCGCAATGCAAGTTGGGTCCAAGCGGGGTGGTATCGCACAAATACGTATAAAAGAAATAAAATGATAACTCAAAAGTTCAAGGTATCAAAGAAAAGGATAACAAACTTTATGTCTAGTTGTTGGATACATAGGACTGCGTCTATCTCCCGACCCGTTCTATGGATTGTGACACGTTGTTTTCCGTTAGGCGAGTTTTAACACTTCAAGTTGTTTGCTCTTTAAGAAATTGTTTTTTTTTTTGGTGTGTCTTCGGGCGAAAGTCGAAAAAAAAAACTTATTTTGGTGGTCTGGATCTAAGTCGCTCTTCAAAATAATTGTTCTTGGATTGAAGATGAGTCCCGAAATTGCCACTTCTTTCCATTTTTTTGGGGGTCTTCTCTTACTCCCACCTTCTCACCATGCTTCAGGGGGGTGTCGGCTGTCCTCCCCATTTCCTCGTGGTGACCTCTCATACCCATCCTCTAAATGGGCGGTGACATCTTCCTCCTTGCGTCACGTGATCACCACTCGACCAATGATGTCCAGACGAGCGTGTACGATCCCGCGAGCTTTGTTTCAGGGAAAAAAATTGCGGTTTGTTTATGTATCCCCGATAACACAGCTCGTCGCCAGAACACAACGATTCCCCCATCCACTCAGAATTTCCCTGCCATTGTAATGACACTCTTCGCCATTTGTTACTTATCAAACTATCCTTTATCCATTGTCTCTTAGTCGTGGGTGTCCTACTTACCATCCACGTTTGGGTCTCGCCTCTCTTTTTCTTTCTTTCCTTCCTCTCTTTCCTTTCTTTACTTTTTGCCTTGGTAAATGGTGCCACAGAACAAACTGCGACAGATACATAGGATAGATAGACAGATAGGTAAGGAACAAGCTGCAAAAGATAGATAGATAGATAGATAGATAATGAAGAAGATAGAAATAGATAGATAGATAGATAGATAGATAGATAGATAGATAGATAGATAAATAGAAAAGAACAAACTGCAACAGATAGATAAATAAACTGCAACAAATAATTAATAAAGATAGATAATAGATAGATAGATAGATAGATAATGAACAAACTGCAACAGATAAATAGGTAAATAATTAACAAACTGTAACAGATAGATAGATAGATAGATAATGAACAAATTGCGACAGATAGATACATACATTGCAATGGCATAGATAGATAGATAGATAGATAGATAGATAGATAGATAGATGGACATTTAGGTGAAAGAATAAGATCGTTTATTGCCAGACGTACTTATGGAGCAAATTTAATTCAGGCAGTAAGTTTCTCTTAATTATTAGAATTATCATGTAAGGTGATTATGTAGCACAGTAAATAATTGTTGTGCGCAATAAATGATTTGTTATTATTATGCTACGAAATTATTGATGTACCTCTGCATACAACGCTCTCGCGAAACGTTCAGCAAAGCTGAAGAATAACATGATGTTTACATTCAACGAAAATTGAAGTAACGTTTGGTGTAGGCCTTCATTGTATTTCGTTATTTTTTTAAAATTGCATTCTGGTTTTAATGTTTCTGTTTTGTACTTGAACGTTTGTTTTTAACGTTTATTTCTTTTCCCGGTGCCGCTTTAGCTGTTAAAATGTTTACTGCGTCAAATCACTCTATGTCAGCGAAGAAACACAGCAACAACCGAGTTTACAAAATTGAATTGCCAACCGAAACAAGCATGGCTACTCGTGGCGGAGACTCATTGTTGCGAAACGTGTTCATAAGCACGCGGCTTCCCCCGAATTTCTTAAGCATTGCCAGAAGCATCCATACGCAACGTGGAAGAAAGTCATTACACTTGCAATGCTGTTCACTGGTTTCGGCCAATAGGCATCATTAGCAGCAGCAGCAGCAGCAAGCGCATCCCGAACAAATCAATCTTGTCGAGTGAATATTTCCATTAATTTTAACTGGAATAATAGTAAAAAAAATAAAAAATAAATTTGGAATAACGACGGTTTCAGCAAATCGACATCTTAGATTAATTCTTGTTCTGTCTTCGTGAAGTAACATTTTACGCTGACTTACAGTAGAAGATTATATTGAATCATTTGCTACGCCTGCTTCTAAGAAACTTGGTTCACTGTGTCGAGCTAAACAGTTTTTTTTTCATCTCAATAGAATCTATCTTACAAAATTCTAAGATTAACATTCCTCTATGCATTTGATATTGATGCAAAATCTGGTCAGTTTGTTCTGAATATTTGAATATTTCTGAAAAAAATCCAAAAAAAAAATAGCAATGTTATTTGTCCCGAGCTGGCATCTCGAATGAATTAGATGATCATAGACTGAAATATAATTAAAAAAAAAGTAATGCCAACAATAGTGATTAAATTATCATAAAATGAAGAACGGCGAACCAATTCTTATGCTTGTCATTTTATTTTTCCATTCTCGGAAATCGTCACATGGATTGACGCAAGATAAAGGTAAACGTTCCTGCACATAGAAGGATTAGTGTAGATTCGAAGGACGTCTCTACATTGGCAAGGGGCTGTTATTTTCGTGGTATTTGTCTTTTAATCTATAAGCCTTTATAGAGATAAATATCGGTCATTCATATATGGGTGTTTATTGCTTCTTTTGTATGTAAATAAGGGTCATTTATATATGATCGATATTTACTTCATTCGGGGAATAAGTACACAGCAGCCGAAAATTCGCTGAAGGATTCCATCATTAGTCATCTTTTTATTATCAGAGTGTGTAAGTTGAAAGTTCAAAACTAATATGGCTAACTTTCAACAATTATGGAAGCCCATACAACCGACATGAACGGTGCCATAATCGGATAAGAGTGACTAGTCTCACATCTCCGTCTTCTAGAATATCTCATGCAATATCAGTAAGTAGCCATTTGATGACATAGCGAGGTGGCTATAAGTCAGTCTGTTGATACACATAACTTCTCTGAAGCTCTACTTTTAAATCATCCTGAAATCACCGGTCACCATTCGATCAGTGGAGTTAGAGCCCGGTTAGTATTTAGATAAACGATGTTTTGAGAACTCCGGTAACTGTAAGGAAATTACTACAATCCGAAATATTTTTTGGATTTAAATAATACTCAAAGGGTTGATAAGCCGTAAAAAAATCAATCAATCAATGTCTGAGGCTCTGATGTAATACTGAGTTCAAGTTCTATTTTAAAATCATATGTTGTGAGACAGATACGTACTGGATTTATTACAGATCAACTCCTTTTATAACAACTGTTCCTTAAGGGTATGAAATTTTATTCAGACTATCTGGTATATATAGATTTATCCTATATATACTGTTACAAACTAGCAACATACGGATGTAAACACGTTCACGAAAAGAAATAGAAAAGATGGGGTCGCTGAGATAGAAACGAGTAACACAGGTGTCAACGAACAACAAACACAAGATGAAAGGTTAAAAACTACATTATATAATAATGGAATTAGGTGAGAATGTAAGATAACGGGCGTAAGATCAACAAGAGGCACTTCACTGATACTGGATATCTCTTGGATTATCCATGAAGCGTTAATTCGTATGTTGATGTGTTCATAACAGCAAACAGGTATAAGTCTTTTAGAATGTCAGAATGAAAATAGGTAATCATTTTTTCTGCAACATAGACTGGGAGATTCCTGAACGATACGTCTATTTCGTTCCGCATAGAGTAATCAAAGTAAATCTAAGAAAATACTGAGAATATTTCTTCAGGAATAATATTTTCTTATTCGGTACACATCTAGTAATCGAATAAGTCCATTGGCCCATTTAGATCAAACTATCTGGTTGTTCATCGATCCAGATTTTATCCCGTCACCTCTCAGTCTAGACAGGAAATCAAGGAAGAGAAGGAATAAAGAAAGAGGAAACACAAAGAAAACTTGTCTCTTGATAGATTGATAATATGTCTGGCTTTAATTCAAATACTGAGGGCCATGTCACGATACATAGATATTTTCATCTCGTCAATAAATCTCAGAATTCGTTTACTGTCGTCTCCGGAACTTAAAGTCGCTCTTAAATGACATATTTCAAAACTAGATGTTGCTATATATGAATGGTATGAAAAGTCTTATTAGGTTGTTCCACTAGTTCAGACCTTTACATCTACTCCGACATCCGATGTTCAAAGAATCGAACCACACACAGCCGCTTCATATTTTATTAGAAAAAAAAAAAATATTTCACCCTTTTCGACAAGTGCTATTTTGTGAAATAGATTCCAGCGGTTATGTTTCCATAAATATTTTTTTTTAAAGTCACATCAAGTTCAGTGTCAATCTTTATATATCCTCTCTATCCTCACGATTTTTACTTCCTAACTTCTCCTCTTATGACAATTACACTCAAGAGTTTCATTAAAACTACTTTGCGTGACTCTTCAACCTGGACGTTAGTAAAATTGAAAAACAACAAAAAAGCATCTTAAGTAGATTCCGGAAGTGAACTTTGATGTTTTCTTCAAAAATCGATGCCTTGTCGTTTAAGTTTAGTCATGCCACAAGATGCGTATTTGAACAGGACTAAGACGTTATTTTTTCTAGGTAGGATATTTACCATTGATATAACCAGTTTTTCGTTTTGTTGCTCTACCTTTTCCCGTCCCACTACTACCAAAATCGTAGTGTTCTTCGGGTCGTCACTTGCGGATGACTTTGATCTCCACGGCCGTTGTATGTTTACATCGAGCAAACTGGCAGGCCGACGGATTTTACAAGGATTTCGCCCAGAGGATGCTGCGATTTTAAAAACTCCAGAGTCGTGAAAAATTCTTTGTCTTTGATGAAAACCAATTTCACAGAACAAGTCAACAAACTCCGTTGAGAGCTAACATCAGATGTAATGAAAACAAGTTGAAAAATTCAAACTACATATCAAGCAATCATTTTTGCGGTCTGATTGCTGTTATTTTGACAGGAAAACTATTCTAGTAGAAAATAAAGGTAAATTAAGGAAACCTTGAACCAGGCATTGTATGTACTTATTTCTGTAAGTTCGTTAGTGTCAGAACTAATAGCAGCGGTACGAACAACGTTTTATAAAAGACCTCAGCTATGCAATTATCATCTTCGCTCTGTTTCTTTTGGACACCCTCTGGGTGACTCACGCCCATTTGTTTTTTATAAGGAAGTTTACACCTCGCTTAACATTAATTTCTTCCACATCCTTTGATAAGATAATCATATGACGCTCTTTGGAAAGCGGTCACTCCGAAACCCTGGCCTGAATTTTAGTAACGAACTGAACAATTGGAGAATGTTTTGTATAAACGTAGCAAGCATTCATCTGTGGAGATTGGAATATTTTAAAAGACTATAAATCTTTTTGATATTTTCCAGAAGGTAACTGGAGATGTTGGAGAAGATATAGGTTTACTAAATGTTAATGAATTCTACTTTTTTTTCTTTCAAGTTATCGACTTCCATGGGCTTCTATCTCCAAATTTGTTTATGGTGTCCAATTATTATTTTAAATGTATTCTTTATTTATTTAATCGACATTTTATTAGTTTCGCTGAGTTTTTTTCTCACTCTTTAATTTTAATTATTTCCTGTTTCAAGTCGACATTAGAGAATACCTAGCATTTGAACCAGTGTCTCCACCATGTTATATCCGTCTTTCTATTAATCATTCCACCATAATTAAGGGGATAAAGGCACTTTTTTAGTCGCTTTATCCCTCTATTATTTTCTTTTATATGGCCATTATTTTATACCTCCACTAGCATCATGGCCCGGCGTTGCCCGTGCTTGATTCAAAAATCGTACAACTCATACAGCAATCTCTATCACTTGACTTAAAATATTTTTACCCTTCCTTTCTTTTAAAGAAGTTCCCTTTGCCGTACTGATGTTGCTTACTTCTTGCCTATCTCACACTGCGAATTTTTGTCTAAGCTCTAAACTAAACATTAAATCTGTTACGAAAAAATAACTAAAAAAATGAATACAAAACGATCAGCTTTAAAAAAGGACTCATAACTGGAAAAACCGAATGAAAAAAAGAATGTTAACAAGAAATACTTTTTCATACCCAACCCAGTTCTGCGGAATTAGAATCAATGTTGAGTTTAAGCAAGCAAATGACCTAATTGGAGTAAAGTGCCATGCAGATTTAAATTTTTCACACTTGTGACGAATGCAGCTATCGTTACTTTTTGCATGCTAGTTAACATTCGTGTCATTCAGCTGTTGGTTCTCACGCTGGCCAAT